TGTGTCTCTGCAGAGTCAGACTCTCTCCACTGCTGCGGTGTCTCTGCAGAGTCAGTCTCTCTCCACTGCTGCTGTGTCTCTGCAGAGTCAGTCTCTCTCCACTGCTGCTGTGTCTGCAGGGTCAGTCTCTCTCCACTGCTGCGGTGTCTCTGCAGAGTCAGACTCTCTCCACTGCTGCGGTGTCTCTGCAGAGTCAGACTCTCTCCACTGCTGCGGTGTCTCTGCAGAGTCAGACTCTCTCCACTGCTGCTGTGTCTCTGCAGGGTCAGTCTCTCTCCACTGCTGCTGTGTCTGCAGGGTCAGTCTCTCTCCACTGCTGCTGTGTCTGCAGGGTCATCTCTCTCCACTGCTGCTGTGTCTGCAGGTCAGTCTCTCCACTGCTGCTGTGTCTCTGCAGGGTCAGTCTCTCTCCACTGCTGCTGTGTCTCTGCAGAGTCAGCTCTCTCCATGCTGCTGTGTCTCTGCAGGGTCAGTCTCTCTCCACTGCTGCTGTGTCTCTGCAGGGTCAGTCTCTCCACTGCGGTGTGTCTCTGCAGAGTCAGTCTCTCTCCACTGCTGCTGTGTCTCTGCAGGGTCAGTCTCTCTCCACTGCTGCTGTGTCTCTGCAGAGTCAGTCTCTCTCCACTGCTGCTGTGTCTGCAGGGTCAGTCTCTCTCCACTGCTGCTGTGTCTCTGCAGGGTCAGTCTCTCTCCACTGCTGCTGTGTCTCTGCAGAGTCAGTCTCTCTCCACTGCTGCTGTGTCTCTGCAGAGTCAGTCTCTCTCCACTGCTGCTGTGTCTCTGCAGAGTCAGTCTCTCTCCACTGCTGCGGTGTCTCTGCAGAGTCAGTCTCTCTCCACTGCTGCGGTGTCTCTGCAGAGTCAGACTCTCTCCACTGCTGCTGTGTCTCTGCAGGGTCAGTCTCTCTCCACTGCTGCTGTGTCTCTGTAGAGTCAGTCTCTCTCCACTGCTGCGGTGTCTCTGCAGAGTCAGACTCTCTCCACTGCTGCTGTGTCTCTGCAGAGTCAGTCTCTCTCCACTGCTGCGGTGTCTCTGCAGGGTCAGTCTCTCTCCACTGCTGCGGTGTCTCTGCAGGGTCAGTCTCTCTCCACTGCTGCTGTGTCTCTGCAGGGTCAGTCTCTCTCCACTGCTGCGGTGTCTCTGCAGAGTCAGTCTCTCTCCACTGCTGCTGTGTCTCTGCAGAGTCATTCTCTCTCCACTGCTGCTGTGTCTGCAGGGTCAGTCTCTCTCCACTGCTGCGGTGTCTCTGCAGGGTCAGTCTCTCTCCACTGCTGCTGTGTCTCTGCAGAGTCAGTCTCTCTCCACTGCTGCGGTGTCTCTGCAGAGTCAGTCTCTCTCCACTGCTGCGTGTCTCTGCAGGGTCAGTCTCTCTCCACTGCTGCGGTGTCTCTGCAGGGTCAGTCTCTCTCCACTGCTGCGGTGTCTCTGCAGAGTCAGTCTCTCTCCACTGCTGCTGTGTCTCTGCAGAGTCAGTCTCTCTCCACTGCTGCTGTGTCTCTGCAGAGTCAGTCTCTCTCCACTGCTGCTGTGTCTCTGCAGGGTCAGTCTCTCTCCACTGCTGCTGTGTCTCTGCAGGGTCAGTCTCTCTCCACTGCTGCTGTGTCTCTGCAGAGTCAGTCTCTCTCCACTGCTGTGTCTCTGCAGGGTCAGTCTCTCTCCACTGCTGCTGTGTCTCTGCAGGGTCAGTCTCTCTCCACTGCTGCTGTGTCTCTGCAGAGTCAGTCTCTCTCCACTGCTGCTGTGTCTCTGCAGGGTCAGTCTCTCTCCACTGCTGCGGTGTCTCTGCAGAGTCAGTCTCTCTCCACTGCTGCGGTGTCTCTGCGGGTCAAGTCTCTCTCCACTGCTGCTGTGTCTCTGCAGGGTCAGTCTCTCTCCACTGCTGCTGTGTCTCTGCAGAGTCAGTCTCTCCACTGCTGCTGTGTCTGCAGGTCAGTCTCTCTCCACTGCTGCGTGTGTCTGCAGGGTCAGTCTCTCTCACTGCTGGTGTCTCTGCAGAGTCAGACTCTCTCCACTGCTGTGTCTCTGCAGGTCAGTCTCTCTCCACTGCTGCTGTGTCTCTGCAGAGTCAGTCTCTCTCCACTGCTGCTGTCTGCAGGGTCAGTCTCTCTCCATGCTGCGGTGTCTCTGCAGGGTCAGTTCTCTCCACTGCTGCGGTGTCTCTGCAGAGTCAGACTCTCTCCACTGCTGCTGTGTCTCTGCAGGGTCAGTCTCTCTCCACTGCTGCGGTGTCTCTGCAGGGTCAGTCTCTCTCCACTGCTGCGGTGTCTCTGCAGAGTCAGTCTCTCTCCACTGCTGCGGTGTCTCTGCAGAGTCAGTCTCTCTCCACTGCTGCGGTGTCTCTGCAGAGTCATCTCTCTCCACTGCTGCTGTGTCTCTGCAGAGTCAGTCTCTCTCCACTGCTGCTGTGTCTGCAGGGTCATTCTCTCTCCACTGCTGCTGTGTCTCTGTAGAGTCAGTCTCTCTCCACTGCTGCGGTGTCTGCAGGGTCAGTCTCTCTCCACTGCTGCGGTGTCTCTGCAGAGTCAGTCTCTCTCCACTGCTGCGGTGTCTCTGCAGAGTCATTCTCTCTCCACTGCTGCTGTGTCTCTGCAGAGTCAGTCTCCTCCACTGCTGCGGTGTCTCTGTAGAGTCAGTCTCTCTCCACTGCTGCTGTGTCTCTGCAGGGTCAGTCTCTCTCCACTGCTGCGGTGTCTCTGCAGGGTCAGTCTCTCTCCACTGCTGCGGTGTCTCTGCAGGGTCAGTCTCTCTCCACTGCTGCTGTGTCTGCAGGGTCAGTCTCTCTCCACTGCTGCTGTGTCTCTGCAGGGTCAGTCTCTCTCCACTGCTGCTGTGTCTCTGCAGGGTCAGTCTCTCTCCACTGCTGCTGTGTCTGCAGGGTCAGTCTCTCTCCACTGCTGCTGTGTCTGCAGAGTCAGTCTCTCTCCACTGCTGCTGTGTCTCTGCAGGGTCAGTCTCTCTCCACTGCTGCTGTGTCTCTGCAGAGTCAGTCTCCTCCATGCTGTGTGTTGCAGGGTCAGTCTCTCTCCACTGCTGCTGTGTCTCTGCAGGGTCAGTCTCTCTCCACTGCTGCTGTGTCTCTGCAGAGTCAGTCTCTCTCCACTGCTGCTGTGTCTCTGCAGGGTCAGTCTCTCTCCACTGCTGCTGTGTCTCTGCAGGGTCAGTCTCTCTCCACTGCTGCTGTGTCTCTGCAGAGTCAGTCTCTCTCCACTGCTGCGGTGTCTCTGCAGAGTCATCTCTCCACTGCTGCTGTGTCTGCAGGGTCAGTCTCTCTCCACTGCTGCGGTGTCTGCAGAGTCAGTCTCTCTCCACTGCTGCGGTGTCTCTGCAGAGTCAGTCTCTCTCCACTGCTGCTGTGTCTCTGCAGGGTCAGTCTCTCTCCACTGCTGCTGTGTCTCTGCAGGGTCAGTCTCTCTCCACTGCTGCTGTGTCTCTGCAGAGTCAGTCTCTCTCCACTGCGGTGTCTCTGCAGAGTCAGTCTCTCTCCACTGCTGCTGTGTCTCTGCAGGGTCAGTCTCTCTCCACTGCTGCGGTGTCTCTGCAGGGTCAGTCTCTCTCCACTGCTGCTGTGTCTCTGCAGAGTCAGTCTCTCTCCACTGCTGCGGTGTCTCTGCAGGGTCAGTCTCTCTCCACTGCTGCTGTGTCTGCAGGGTCAGTCTCTCTCCACTGCTGCTGTGTCTCTGCAGAGTCAGTCTCTCTCCACTGCTGCTGTGTCTGCAGGGTCAGTCTCTCTCCACTGCTGCTGTGTCTCTGCAGGGTCAGTCTCTCTCCACTGCTGCGGTGTCTCTGCAGAGTCAGTCTCTCTCCACTGCTGCTGTGTCTCTGCAGAGTCAGTCTCTCTCCACTGCTGCGGTGTCTCTGCAGAGTCAGTCTCTCTCCACTGCTGCGGTGTCTCTGCAGAGTCAGTCTCTCTCCACTGCTGCGGTGTCTCTGCAGAGTCAGTCTCTCTCCACTGCTGCTGTGTCTCTGCAGAGTCAGTCTCTCTCCACTGCTGCTGTGTCTGCAGGGTCAGTCTCTCTCCACTGCTGCTGTGTCTCTGCAGGGTCAGTCTCTCTCCACTGCTGCTGTGTCTCTGCAGAGTCAGTCTCTCTCCACTGCTGCTGTGTCTGCAGGGTCAGTCTCTCTCCACTGCTGCGGTGTCTCTGCAGAGTCAGTCTCTCTCCACTGCTGCTGTGTCTCTGCAGGGTCAGTCTCTCTCCACTGCTGCGGTGTCTCTGCAGAGTCAGTCTCTCTCCACTGCTGCTGTCTGCAGGTCAGTCTTCTCCACTGCTGCTGTGTCTCTGCAGAGTCAGTCTTCTCCACTGCTGCTGTGTCTCTGCAGGGTCAGTCTCTCTCCACTGCTGCGGTGTCTCTGCAGGGTCAGTCTCTCTCCACTGCTGCGGTGTCTCTGCAGAGTCAGTCTCTCTCCACTGCTGCTGTGTCTCTGCAGAGTCAGTCTCTCTCCACTGCTGCTGTGTCTCTGCAGGGTCAGTCTCTCTCCACTGCTGCGGTGTCTCTGCAGAGTCAGTCTCTCTCCACTGCTGCGGTGTCTCTGCAGGGTCAGTCTCTCTCCACTGCTGCGGTGTCTGCAGGGTCAGTCTCTCTCCACTGCTGCTGTGTCTCTGCAGGGTCAGTCTCTCTCCACTGCTGCGGTGTCTCTGCAGGGTCAGTCTCTCTCCACTGCTGCGGTGTCTCTGCAGAGTCAGTCTCTCTCCACTGCTGCTGTGTCTCTGCAGAGTCAGTCTCTCTCCACTGCTGCTGTGTCTCTGCAGAGTCAGTCTCTCTCCACTGCTGCTGTGTCTCTGCAGGGTCAGTCTCTCTCCACTGCTGCGGTGTCTCTGCAGGGTCAGTCTCTCTCCACTGCTGCGGTGTCTCTGCAGGGTCAGTCTCTCTCCACTGCTGCGGTGTCTCTGCAGAGTCAGTCTCTCTCCACTGCTGCGGTGTCTCTGCAGGGTCAGTCTCTCTCCACTGCTGCGGTGTCTCTGCAGGGTCAGTCTCTCTCCACTGCTGCTGTGTCTCTGCAGGGTCGGTCTCTCTCCACTGCTGCTGTCGCGATGTTGCCCACGCCGAGGTGGCAGGGAGGGGAGGGTCGCGTCTACGAGCCGAGTGAAGACACCTTCCTGCTCATGGCGGCGCTGGAGGGCGACGCAGAGCGACTCCGTAGCAGCCGGTACCCCTCCACTGTGTGTACTGTGTGTGTACTGTGTGTGCTGTGTGTGTACTGTGTGTACTGTGTGTGTGTGTACTGTGTGTGCTGTGTCTGTGTGTGTACTGTGTGTGTGTACTGTGTGTGTACTGTGTGTGTGTGCGTGTGTGTACTGTGTGTGTACTGTGTGTGTGCTGGTGTGTGCTGTGTGTGTACTGTGTGTACTGTGTGTGTGTACTGTGTGTGTGCTGTGTGTGTACTGTGTGTGCTGTGTGTGTGTGTGGTGTACTGTGTGTGTGTACTGTGTGTGTGCTGTGTGTGTGTACGGTGTGTGTGTACTGTGTGTGTGTACTGTGTGTGTGTACTGTGTGTGTGTGCTGTGGTGTGTGTACTGTGTGTGTACTGTGTGTGTGTGCTGGTGTGTGCTGTGTGTGTACTGTGTGTATGTGTGTGTACTGTGTCCGGGTACTGTGGTGTATTGTGTGTACTGTGTGTGTGTGTACTGTGTGTGTACTGTGTGTGTACTGTGTGTGTGCTGTGTGTGTGTACTGTGTGTGTGTGACTGTGGTGTACTGTGTGTGTACTGTGTGTGTGTACTGTGTGGTACTGTGTGTGTACTGTGTGTGCTGTGTGTGTACTGTGTGTACTGTGTGTGTGTGTACTGTGGTGCTGTGTGTGTACTGTGTGTGTACGTGTGTGTACTGTGTGTGTGTGTACTGTGTGTGTGTACTGTGTGTATGTGCTGTGTGTGTGTACTGTGTGTGTGCTGTTGTGTGCTGTGTGTGTGCTGTGTGTGTACTGTGTGTGTGTGCTGTGTGTGTGCTGTGTGTGTGTACTGTGTGTGTGTGTGTGTGTACTGTGTGTGTGCTGTGTGTGGCTGTGTGTGTGGTACTGTGTGTGTGTACTGTGTGTATGTGCTGTGTGTGTTACTGTGTGTGTACTGTGTGTGTACTGTGTGTGTGTGTACTGTGTGTGTGTGTACTGTGTGTGTGTGTGTACTGTGTGTGTACTGTGTGTGTACTGTGTGTGTGTGTACTGTGTGCTGTGTCTGTGTGTACTGTGTGTACTGTGTGTGTGTACTGTGTGTGTACTGCGTGTGTACTGGTGTGTACTGTGTGTGTACTGTGTGTGTGTGTACTGTGTGTGTACTGTGTCTGTGTGTGTCTGTACTGTGTGTACTGTGTGTGTACTGTGTGTGTGCTGTGTGTGTGTGTGTACTGTGTGTGTACTGTGTGTGTGTGTACCGTGTGTGTGTGGTTACTGTGTGTACTGTGGTACTGTGTGTACTGTGTGTGTAGGTGTTGTACTGTGTGTGTACTGTGTGTGTACTGTGTGTGGGTGTACTGTGTGTGTACTGTGTGTGTGTGTACCGTGGTGTGTGTGTACTGTGTGTGTGTACGTGTTGTGTAGTGTGTGTACCATGTGTGTACTGTGTGTACTGTGTGTGGGTGTGTACTGTGTGTGTACTGTGTGCGGGTGTACTGTGTGCTGTGTGTGTGTACTGTGTGTGTGTACTGTGTGTACTGTGTGAACTGTGTGTGAACTGTGTGGTGTACTGTGTGTGTACTGTGTGTGTGTACTGTGTTTGTATTGTGTGTGTGTGTGTACTGTCTGTGTACTATGTGTACTGTCTGTACTGTGTGTACTGTGTGTGTACTGTGTGTGTACGTGTGTGGGTGTACTGTGTCTGTACTGTGTGTGCACTGCATGTGTACTTTGTACTGTGTGTGTGTACTGTGTGTACTGTGTGTGTGTGTACTGTGTGTGTGTGTGCTGTGTGTGTACGTATGTAATGTGTGTGTTACTGTGTGTACTGTGTGTGTAGTGTGTGAGTACTGTGTGTGTGTGTACTGTGTGTACTGTGCTGTGTGTGTACTATGTGTACTGTGTGTGTACTGTGTGTGTTGTACTGTCTGTGTACTGTTTGTGTACTGTATGTGTACTGTGTGTGTACTGTGTGTGTGTGTACTGTGTGTACTGTGTGTACTGTGGGTGTACTGTGTCTGTACTGTGGTGTACTGGTGGTGTACTGTGTGTGTGTACTGTCTGTGTGTATACTGTGTGTGTACTGTGTGTCTACTGTCTATGTGTGCACTGTGTGTGTTGTGTGTATTATCTGTGTGTGTACGTGTGTGTGTGTGTGTGTGAACTGTGTGTACTGTGTGTGTGTGTACTGTGTGTGTGTACTGTGTGTGTGTGTACTGTGTGTGTGTACTGTGCGTGTGTACTGTGTGTGTGTACTGTGTGTCTACTGTCTGTGTGTGTGTGTGTACTGTGTGGTGTGTACTGTGTGTACTGTGTGGTGTACTGTGTGTGTACTGTGTCTGTGTGTACTGTGTATGTACTATGTGTACTGTCTGTGTGTGTGTTCTGTGTGTGTACTGTGTGTCTACTGTCTGGTGTGTGTACTGTCTGTGTGTGTACTGTGTGTGTACTGTGTGTATTGCCTGTGTGTGTACTGTGTGTGTTGTGTGTGTTGTGTGTATTATCTGTGTGTACTGTGTGTATAATGTATGTGTACTGTGTGAACTGTGTGTGTGTACTGTGTGAACTGTGTGTGTGTACTGTATCTACTGTGTGTGTTATGTTTGTTGTGTGTATTATCTGTGTGTGTACTGTGTGTGTACTGTGTGTATAATGTATGTGTACTGTGTGTACCGTGTGTGTACTGTGTGAACTGTGTGTGTGTACTGTATCTACTGTGTGTGTACTGTGTGAACTGTATGTGTGTACTGTCTATGTGTGTACTGTGTATACTGTGTGTGCGTGTACGGTGTGTGCGCTGTGTGAATTGTGTATAATGTGTCTGTGTGTATTGTATGTAAGTGTAGTGGGATGCAGTAGTGTAGCAGTTAGCGTGCTGCGCTACGAACCTGGGGTGATCCGGGTTCGACTCCTTCTCATGGCCAACACCAGTAACGATTATCTGAACCAGGGCATCCCCTAGGTCGACTCAGCCTCAAATGAGGACCTGGTGTTGGCCACCCACCCCCTCGTATGCTGTGCCGGTCTTCATTTGTGCTCGCTAACAGCACTTGCCCCTACAGTCTGTTACAGGCTATAAGAGGGATCTTTGTTTTGTATGTGTGTGTACTGTGTGTGTACTGTGTGCACTATTTATGTGTACTGTGTGTGTACTTTGTATGTACTGTGTATGCGTGTACTGTGTGTCTTCTGTGTATTATACTGTGTACTGTGTGTGTTGTCTGTGTAATGTCTGTGTACTGTGTGTGTGTATTGTTTGTGTGCTGTGTGTGTTTGTACTGTGTGTGTGTATTGTCTGTGTACTGTGTGTGTGTATTGTCTGTGTACTGTGTGTGTGTATTGTCTGTGTACTGTGTGTGTGTATTGTCTGTGTATTATACTGTGTTTGTACTGTGTGTGTGTGTACTGTCTGTGTGCTGTGTGTGTACTGTGTGTGTGTATTGTCTGTGTACTGTGTGTGTGTATTGTCTGTGTGCTGTGTGTGTTTGTACTGTGTGTGTGTATTGTCTGTGTACTGTGTGTGTGTATTGTCTGTGTACTGTGTGTGTGTTGTCTGTGTAATGTCTGTGTTTGTACTGTGTGTGTGTATTGTCTGTGTACTGTGTGTGTACTGTGTGTGTGTATTGTCTGTGTATTATACTGTGTGTGTACTGTGTGTGTGTATTGTCTGTGTGCTGTGTGTGTACTGTGTGTGTGTGTATTGTCTGTGTATTATACTGTTTTTGTACTGTGTGTGTGTATTGTCTGTGTACTGTGTGTGTGTATTGTTTGTGTACTGTGTGTGTGTATTGTCTGTGTACTGTGTGTGTGTATTGTCTGTGTAATGTCTGTGTACTGTGTGTGTATTGTCTGTGTACTGTGTGTGTATTGTCTGTGTATTGTCTGTGTACTGTATGTGTGTATTGTCTGTGTATTGTCTGTGTCCTGTGTGTGTGTATTGTCTGTGTAATATACTGTGTTTGTACTGTGTGTGTGTATTGTCTGTGTACTGTATGTGTGTATTGTTTGTGTACTGTGTGTGTACTGTGTGTGTGTATTGTCTGTGTAATATACTGTGTTTGTACTGTGTGTGTATTGTCTGTGTACTGTGTGTGTGTATTGTCTGTGTATTATATTGTGTTTGTACTGTGTGTATGTATTGTCTGTGTACTGTGTGTGTGTATTGTCTGTGTACTGTGTGTGTGTATTGTCTGTGTATTGTCTGTGTACTGTGTGTGTGTACTGTGTGTGTGTATTGTCTGTGTAATGTCTGTGTAATGTGTGTGTATTGTTTGTGTATTGTCTGTGTACTGTGTGTGTGTATTGTCTGTGTATTGTCTGTGTACTGTGTGTGTGTATTGTGTGTGTATTGTCTGTGTACTGTGTGTGTGTATTGTCTGTGTACTGTGTGTGTGTATTGTTGTGTAATATACTGTGTTTGTACTGTGTGTGTGTATTGTCTGTGTACTGTGTGTGTGTATTGTCTGTGTATTATACTGTGTTTGTACTGTGTGTGTGTATTGTCTGTGTACTGTATGTGTGTATTGTTTGTGTACTGTGTGTGTACTGTGTGTGTGTATTGTCTGTGTAATATACTGTGTTTGTACTGTGTGTGTGTATTGTCTGTGTACTGTGTGTGTGTATTGTCTGTGTATTATATTGTGTTTGTACTGTGTGTATGTATTGTCTGTGTACTGTGTGTGTGTATTGTCTATGTACTGTGTGTGTGTATTGTCTGTGTATGTCTGTGTTGTGTGTGTGTGTACTGTGTGTGTGTATTGTCTGTGTAATGTCTGTGTAATGTGTGTGTATTGTTTGTGTATTGTCTGTGTACTGTGTGTGTGTATTGTCTGTGTATTGTCTGTGTACTGTGTGTGTGTATTGTGTGTGTATTGTCTGTGTACTGTGTGTGTGTATTGTCTGTGTACTGTGTGTGTGTATTGTTGTGTAATATACTGTGTTTGTACTGTGTGTGTGTATTGTCTGTGTACTGTGTGTGTGTATTGTCTGTGTATTATACTGTGTTTGTACTGTGTGTGTGTATTGTCTGTGTGCTGTGTGTGTACTGTGTGTGTGTTGTCTGTGTATTATACTGTGTACTGTGTGTGTGTATTGTCTGTGTACTGTGTGTGTGTATTGTCTGTGTATTGTACTGTGTTTGTACTGTGTGTGTGTATTGTCTGTGTACTGTGTGTGTGTATTGTCTGTGTGTGTAATGTCTGTGTACTGTGTGTGTGTATTGTCTGTGTGCTGTGTGTGTGTATTGTCTGTGTATTGTCTGTGTACTGTGTGTGTGTATAGTCTGTGTGTGTGTATTGTCTGTGTACTATGTGTGTACTGTGTGTGTATTGTCTGTGTACTGTGTGTGTGTATAGTCTGTGTACTGTGTGTGTGTATAGTCTGTGTACTGTGTGTGTGTATTGTCTGTGTACTGTGTGTGTGTATTGTCTGTGTACTGTGTGTGTGTATTGTCTGTGTACTGTGTGTGTGTATTGTCTGTGTACTGTGTGTGTGTATAGTCTGTCTGTGTGTGTGGGAGCAGTGGCGCGCTGTCTTGCGAACCTGGCGACCCGATTTCGATACCCGCTCATGACCACTAATACCGGTGACGATCATCTGAACCGTCCCGGGGCCTCCTCCTCTAGGTTGACTCAGCCTCAAATGAGTACCTGGTGCGGTGGTGTGTAAACATCATCACCCACCCAACCGGTCATCCTGCTAGCAGCTCTTTCCCGTGTGTCTCTGTGGGTCAGGCCTCTGATTTGCCTGGAGATTGGCTCTGGGTCCGGAGTCGTCTCCTGCTTCGTCGCTTCCATCCTGGGCTCCGCAACGAGCTACCTGTGAGCAGACTCCTGCATCACCACCAACATCAACAACATCACAACATCAACATCACTAACATCAACAGCATCAACAACATCAACAACATCAACAACATCAACAACATCACTAACATCAACACCATCACCAACATCAACACCATCACCACCAACATCAACAACAACAACAACATCAACAACATCAACAACATCAACATCACCAACATCAACACCATCAACAACATCAACAACATCAACAACATCGACAACAACACCAACAACATCACCAACAACACCACCAACATCAACAACATCACTAACATCCACAGCATCAACACCATCACCACCATCACCACCAACATTACCAACAACAACAACACCACCAACATCAACAACATCACCAACATCACCATCAACAGCATCAACACCATCAACACCATCACCACCATCACCACCAACATTACCAACAACACCACCAACATCAACAGCATCACCGCCATCACCACCATCAACACCACCACCACTATCAACACCATCAACGCCAACATCACCACCATCACCAACATCAACACCATCACCAACATCAACACCATCACTAACATCAACACCATCACCAACATCACTAACATCAACACCAGCAACATCAACACCATCACCAACATCACCAATATTCACACCATCATCAACACCAATATCACCAACACCACCATCACCAACAACGCCACCACCACCAGCGGTTAGCGCTGCCGCTGTGCTACTGAACCCAGCCACCAGAGTTCAATTCCCGCTCACGGCTCAACACCAGTGACGATTACCTGAACCAGTCCTGGGCCTCCCCTAGATGGACTCAAGTGAGTACCTGGTGAGTGGTAAATATCTCTACTGGGGAGACAAAGGCGTCCAGGCGTGGTGCTGGCCTTGTTCACCTTCATAGGCACTGCTACTCGCTAACAGACACAGGTTGTAACGATGTTTCGATACTTCTTGGTTCTTTCGGTAAAGTCACGTAGAAAGAAATCAACAAAATAATAAAAAAATAAAACATACTAAAATAATTTTCACGACGTTTCGGCCACAACGCAAGCAGCCGTCTTCAGGTGGAGAACAGGTCTGTCGAGGAGACGCTGTTCGCCATTCCATCTCAACATAAATAGTCGCTTCAAGCCTGGGGCGTTCCATTCAGATTCTGTGTGTGTCACTGTGGCTGTGTGTGTCACTGTGTGTGTCACTGTGGCTGTGTGTATCACTGTGGCTGTGTGTGTGTCACTGTGACTGTGTGTGTCACTGTGGCTGTGTGTGTCACTGTGGCTGTGTGTGTGTCACTGTGGCTGTGTGTGTCACTGTGACTGTGTTTGTCACTGTGGCTGTGTGTGTCACTGTGGCTGTGTGTGTGTCACTGTGGCTGTGTGTGTCACTGTGGCTGTGTGTGTGTCACTGTGGCTGTGTGTGTGTCACTGTGACTGTGTGTGTCACTGTGGCTGTGTGTGTCACTGTGGCTGTGTGTGTGTCACTGTGGCTGTGTGTGTCACTGTGGCTGTGTGTGTGTTACTGTGGCTGTGTGTGTCACTGTGGCTGTGTGTGTGTCACTGTGGCTGTGTGTGTCACTGTGGCTGTGTGTGTGTCACTGTGGCTGTGTGTGTCACTGTGGCTGTGTGTGTCACTGTGGCTGTGTGTGTGTCACTGTGGCTGTGTGTGTCACTGTGGCTGTGTGTGTGTCACTGTGGCTGTGTGTGTCACTGTGGCTGTGCGTGTCACTGTGGCTGTGTGTGTCACTGTGGCTGTGTGTGTCACTGTGGCTGTGTGTGTGTCACTGTGACTGTGTATCACTGCGGCTGTGTGTATCACTGTGGCTGTGTGTGTCACTGTGGCTGTGTGTGTCACTGTGGCTGTGTGTGTCACTGTGGCTGTGTGTGTCACTGTGGCTGTGTGTGTCACTGTGGCTGTGTGTGTGTCACTGTGGCTGTGTGTCACTGTGGCTGTGTGTGTGTCACTGTGGCTGTGTGTGTCACTGTGGCTGTGTGTATCACTGTGGCTGTGTGTGTCACTGTGGCTGTGTGTGTCACTGTGGCTGTGTGTATCACTGTGGCTGTGTGTGTATCACTGTGGCTGTGTGTATCACTGTGGCTGTGTGTGTCACTGTGGCTGTGTGTGTCACTGTGGCTGTGTGTGTCACTGTGGCTGTGTGTGTCACTGTGGCTGTGTGTATCACTGTGGCTGTGTGTGTCACTGTGGCTGTGTGTGTCACTGTGGCTGTGTGTATCACTGTGGCTGTGTGTGTCACTGTGGCTGTGTGTGTCACTGTGGCTGTGTGTGTCACTGTGGCTGTGTGTGTGTCACTGTGACTGTGTGTGTCACTGTGGCTGTGTGTGTCACTGTGGCTGTGTGTGTGTCACTGTGGCTGTGTGTGTGTCACTGTGGCTGTGTGTCACTGTGGCTGTGTGTGTCACTGTGGCTGTGTGTGTCACTGTGGCTGTGTGTGTCACTGTGGCTGTGTGTGTCACTGTGGCTGTGTGTGTGTCACTGTGGCTGTGTGTGTGTCACTGTGGCTGTGTGTGTGTCACTGTGGCTGTGTGTGTCACTGTGGCTGTGTGTATCACTGTGGCTGTGTGTGTCACTGTGGCTGTGTGTATCACTGTGGCTGTGTGTCACTGTGGCTGTGTGTGTGTCACTGTGGCTGTGTGTGTCACTGTGGCTGTGTGTGTCACTGTGGCTGTGTGTGTCACTGTGGCTGTGTGTGTATCACTGTGGCTGTGTGTGTGTCACTGTGGCTGTGTGTGTCACTGTGGCTGTGTGTGTATCACTGTGGCTGTGTGTGTCACTGTGGCTGTGTGTGTGTCACTGTGGCTGTGTGTGTATCACTGTGGCTGTGTGTGTCACTGTGGCTGTGTGTGTCACTGTGGCTGTGTGTGTGTCACTGTGGCTGTGTGTGTGTGTCACTGTGGCTGTGTGTGTGTCACTGTGGCTGTGTGTGTGTCACTGTGGCTGTGTGTGTGTCACTGTGTGCTGTGTGTGTGTCACTGTGGCTGTGTGTCACTGTGGCTGTGTGTGTGTCACTGTGGCTGTGTGTGTCACTGTGGCTGTGTGTGTCACTGTGGCTGTGTGTGTCACTGTGGCTGTGTGTGTATCACTGTGGCTGTGTGTGTCACTGTGGCTGTGTGTGTCACTGTGTGCTGTGTGTGTCACTGTGGCTGTGTGTGTCACTGTGGCTGTGTGTATCACTGTGGCTGTGTGTGTGTCACTGTGGCTGTGTGTGTGTCACTGTGGCTGTGTGTATCACTGTGGCTGTGTGTGTCACTGTGGCTGTGTGTGTGTCACTGTGGCTGTGTGTGTCACTGTGGCTGTGTGTATCACTGTGGCTGTGTGTGTCACTGTGGCTGTGTGTGTCACTGTGGCTGTGTGTGTCACTGTGGCTGTGTGTGTATCACTGTGGCTGTGTGTGTCACTGTGGCTGTGTGTGTCACTGTGGCTGTGTGTGTGTCACTGTGGCTGTGTGTGTCACTGTGGCTGTGTGTGTCACTGTGCCTTTGTGTGTGTCACTGTGGCTGTGTGTGTCACTGTGGCTGTGTGTGTCACTGTGGCTGTGTGTGTCACTGTGGCTGTGTGTGTCACTGTGGCTGTGTGTGCGTCACTGTGGCTGTGTGTGTCACTGTGGCTGTGTGTATCACTGTGGCTGTGTGTGTCACTGTGGCTGTGTGTGTCACTGTGGCTGTGTGTGTGTCACTGTGGCTGTGTGTATCTGTGGCTGTGTGTGTCACTGTGGCTGTGTGTATCACTGTGGCTGTGTGTGTCACTGTGGCTGTGTGTGTCACTGTGGCTGTGTGTGTGTCACTGTGGCTGTGTGTGTGTCACTGTGGCTGTGTGTGTCACTGTGGCTGTGTGTATCACTGTGGCTGTGTATCACTGTGTGCTGTGTGTGTCACTGTGGCTGTGTGTGTCACTGTGGCTGTGTGTGTCACTGTGGCTGTGTGTGTCACTGTGGCTGTGTGTGTCACTGTGGCTGTGTGTGTCACTGTGGCTGTGTGTGTCACTGTGGCTGTGTGTGTCACTGGCTGTGTGTGTGTCACTGTGGCTGTGTGTGTCACTGGCTGTGTGTGTCACTGTGGCTGTGTGTGTCACTGTGGCTGTGTGTGTCACTGTGGCTGTGTGTGTCACTGTGGCTGTGTGTGCACTGTGCTGTGTGTGTCACTGTGGCTGTGTGTGTCACTGTGGCTGTGTGTATCACTGTGGCTGTGTGTGTCACTGTGGCTGTGTGTGTCACTGTGGCTGTGTGTGTCACTGTGGCTGTGTGTGTCACTGTGGCTGTGTGTGTCACTGTGGCTGTGTGTGTCACTGTGGCTGTGTGTGTCACTGTGGCTGTGTGTGTCACTGTGGCTGTGTGTCACTGTGGCTGTGTGTGTCAATGTGGCTGTGTGTGTCACTGTGGCTGTGTGTATCACTGTGGCTGTGTGTGTGTCACTGTGGCTGTGTGTGTGTCACTGTGGCTGTGTGTGTGTCACTGTGGCTGTGTGTGTATCACTGTGGCTGTGTGTGTGTCACTGTGGCTGTGTGTGTGTCACTGTGGCTGTGTGTATCACTGTGGCTGTGTGTATCACTGTGGCTGTGTGTCACTGTGGCTGTGTGTGTCACTGTGGCTGTGTGTGTCACTGTGGCTGTGTGTGTCACTGTGGCTGTGTGTGTATCACTGTGGCTGTGTGTATCACTGTGGCTGTGTGTGTCACTGTGGCTGTGTGGTGTCACTGTGGCTGTGTGTGTCACTGTGGCTGTGTGTCACTTTGGCTGTGTGTGTCACTGTGGCTGTGGTGTGTCACTGTGGCTGTGTGTGTCACTGTGGCTGTGTGTGTCACTGTGGCTGTGTGTGTGTCACTGTGGCTGTGTGTGTCACTGTGGCTGTGTGTGTCACTGTGGCTGTGTGTGTCACTGTGGCTGTGTGTGTCACTGTGGCTGTGTGTGTCACTGTGGCTGTGTGTCTCACTGTGGCTGTGTGTGTCACTGTGGCTGTGTGTCTCACTGTGGCTGTGTGT